CATGTCTCAAAGATAAATCATGATTTTTCTTGAAATTGTCATGCATGTGTTTTATAACACTGACCGTTGGTGTTTTTGGTGGCTCGAAGTTGAGTTGGAAATATTGGCATGCTGGTTGAAATTTTTGATTTCCTTTCTTGATATTCTTGATTATCAACTTGTGACAATTTGTAATCAAGCATGTGATGCCAACCTCGAGATGTGTGTGATGAAATCTTTCCCACATGAAAAGATGTGTTTGTGTTGGGAGAAGATGGAGACAGTGTGGCCGGAATTGTGAAACATACATGGAGATTGTCCGCAGAAAGTCTGAAAAAGCTGTGAACTCGCATGCACAGTCACGCCACTGAACCTCACCATCGCGCCCGCAAAGGCTACATGGCACAATCGCGCCCACAACACCACACCTTGCTCCCGCGACCTAGGCACTCGCGGCCACGACCATATGCATTGCGCTCGTGACCATGGTAAGTCCAAACGTCCAGCTCCTAGTACTTTTCTTTGCAACCCGCGAAGGCAACTCGCTCCTACGACCAGCCCTCGAACTTACCCTGCCCAAGTCTATTTAAATGCCCCTTGGGTATTTTGTTTGGTATCTCTTACACTTATTTTTTGCAAGTGTTCTCTCCATCTCTCCTGAATACTTCCAGAATTTCTTTTGTGATAGAAATATATTTTGAGAGAGATCGTTTTTGTAAGAGAGTTTATTTTTGAGAGAGTACTTCTAGTGAGGATTTTTTTGTATCTCTCATTCACTTTGATGATGCATTAGTCTCTATGAATTTCAAGATAATTATCAAGCCTTTTGTATAAGTTCTTCACATCTTCCAAAAGTAAACCTTCTTGGTGTGATCCAAGATTGTATTTGGTGAGCTTTGGTGTGGATTCCAAAGCTGTTCATCGTGTGGATTCAACAAAGCAAATATCCAGTGGAGATTGCGGAGGTACTTATAGATTGAGCAAAGACGTGTGCCAGTAAGTGGACTTGTGTTGCCTAGATTGGCCTTTGTAAGATATCTCTTGTACTACCTTTCTTGCATAGTAGATTATTCGTCTGACTGAAGGCCCGTAGTTTTTATCACAAGTTGTTGTGGATTCCAATTGTGATTTTCCACGTTAAAAAAATCTTTTGTATCGTGGATTGATCTTCTCCTCTCTTTATATTGATCATGGTTGCATATTTTTATTTGGATTGCCTATATCAATAATCACGTTAATCGGGGACACATCTACATTTTCTAAAAGAGTTTTCCGCAACAAATCTAGATTTTTCAACCTCTACCTTAATTCCAACCATACCCCTCATCTTTTGACCCCCATCTTTTCTTCTCCTATCTTCCTACCACCGTCGGTAGTCCCTATAGCGATCCCGATTTTGGCCCGACCTTTGTTATATTCCGAACTCAAGTTTTATGGTTTAATATTGTTATCCATGTCTTGTTTTCCCTCATTTGTCTTTGAATTGGAGTTTTGGAGTGCCTTGGGCATGTTTAGGATAGGTTGGTTGCTAGTTGTTCAAGTTGTTGTTGCCCAGAAATTTACTTCTTCGCTTGAGCGAGGCTTCTTGCGCTCGAGCGAACTTTGTGAGCTCCCAGCATTTTTGCAGGCTTGCAGAGATTCTAGAAGGGTGATGTTCTTCGCTCGAGCGGCGGTATGCGTCTGTAAAGTTTTTGAAAGTATGTATTCTGTGCTCGAGCGACTCTTCTTGCGCTCGAGCGAGGTCACTTATTGTATCTGGTCGCTTGAGCGACAACTCCTTCGCTCAAGCGAGCCTCACGTATATCAGTTCGCAGCAACACTTTCTTCTTCATTTTTTTTGGCCCCTTTTCAATCAAAAACCCTAGATCGGCTCTTTCTCTCTCTAAAAACCGACTTCTCTCTAAAAATCCCTTAGGATCTAAGGGTCTCTCTACCCTACTCCCTTTGAGAAAAAAGTGGAGTACTTCAATGGCTACCATTACATCCGAATAGAGTTTGATTTCATCATTTTTGAAGTTCCTCTTCTTCTTCTTTGGGCTTCTACACTTGAGGTAGAGATATTTTACACTTTGTTATGATCTTTAACCTTGTTATTTGTTGTTATGTATAAATGGTGAAATTTGGGATGTTTGGAGAAAACCTAGGGTTTGGATTCAAATTGAAAAGAATGATTTCTATGTTGTATTCTATAAATGAATATGGGTTTTTGAATATGAGGTTGTCTTGGATTAGAATGGTGGATTTTAACTTTTGGATTGATATTTGGAAAAATGGAAAAATTGCCCTAATATATGTTAAATAGTTATTTTGTATAAATAATGAAATTGGTATGAGAAATGTGAAATTTGGAGAATGTGTGAATGGATGGTGTAGTTGGATTTGTTAAATCACTCACCTATGAAATTTGATGAGTTATCGATTATAAAGATTGTATATTTATTTAGAAAAAACTGTATTGGGCCATCGGTGGAGAATAGCTATGATTGTTGTAGAAATTGCATTAAGATTAGGTGAATTGAAACTAATCATTTAATTATGTCATTGAACATGACGGTGTGTTAAGGCATTAAATATGTATAATTGATAGTCATTGAATATGACGGTACTTTAAGTACATTGTATATGTATAATGTTTTGAGAGAAGAAAGGGAATGTACTCCATGTTTTGGAAGGATATAGGAGATGGACTCTATTGAAACTAAGTTAGTCAGAGTGTACCGGGTGAAAGTCCCGAAATCATTTATATACATGGGTGCCAATCCCGCGGACGAAATTTCCGTAAAATGGCAAGTCTAAAGTGCTTGTGTAATAGTTATGTAAAATGAAAACCACTGAATTGTAATCTCGGTTGGGTTATTTGGAAAACTATACACTTGGCATGTGAATTGAAATGAAACTAATTAACTTGGAATGAATAAATGAAAATGGATTGGGATGTGAGTATCAGTACTGAATGGTCATGGGAAGATTATACGTTGGTCATAAATGTTGAATGTTAGCTGATACTTATATTTTAGTTAAATCTCATATATTGTGATAGACTGTTTCTATTAGGCTTTGGCTCACCCTACTAGGGAAACCATTTTTAGGTACCGGTGACATACTTCCTCCAAGGACGTAGCTTGAGAGGGCTTAGGAACTGGAGACTCTATTTTGTTATTTTATGTTTAAATGTTTATTTAAGCCGAGGGCTTTATATGTATAGAGCTTATTACTACCTTTTTGTTGTACGCAAGCAATGTCTTGGAAAGATGTAAGCTCGTAGGATATTTATTTTGTTGTTAACTGGTGTTACATATTATAGATTCAGGATGAATATTTGTGAATGTATATTGCATGTATTATCTTTTGGTAATACAAACTCTGATACATGAAAGTATATTAATTCTATTATAATCATTTCTCTTATGAGTTGGATTATTTGTATTATTTTGAGGGTGTTACAGTCCCACCCATCCGACGACTTCCCTATAACAACCTCCTCTTTACCCTACCCTTACCTTCCGACGACTTCCTAGTACCTCCTCCACTAGTGACCACCCTTCCACGTCTGACCACTGCATTTTTTTTCCAGATCTAACTTCTTCTCTCCTCTCTCTCTCTCTCTCTCTCTCTCCTTCTAGTACTATTGCTTCTTCTTCGTTAAGTAGCATCGTCGCCTGCCACGAAGATCGAACATTATTTGATTTATGATTAAAGATCGAACAATGAGAGATTTCGATTTTTGGATTTTGGGTGAATTACCACGAATGGTGTTAAGTATGAGATCAAAAGAAGATGAACTTGAGTTCAAACACTTGGAGGTCTAGGAGTAGAGAAACGTACGGTTCCTCCATTTTCGCTACCAAAGAGAGACGCGCCACCTATAACAATTGTAACAACCACCCATTTGCCTCTTGCTATCAAACAACCATTAAGCTAGTGGAGGCAAAATCAACAGAGATGGAAGGAGAGTTCGTTAGCGACAGTGGTTGTGGTTGTGGTTGTAGTTGTTGCCGGTGGAGATGGTGGGGAAAAGGTTGTTGGGCTAGAAATTAAGGCTAGGATTTGAAAAATTAAGATTAGAGGGTTGGGAATGAGGATAGAAGTGAAATTTTATGTTTAAGACAATATTAGAATTAAAAAATAAATAAAAGAGAGAAGGTCCTAAAAAAAAAGGTAAGGATAAATAGCAACCCTCTATATTAGACATTTATGTTTCTTAAAAATTACATCTTCATCCCTATGGTTTCCAACATTACAACTTTTTCCCCCTTATGTTAGTCAACCACACAGTCAAGTAACAAATTGTGCCGATGGTCAACCATTTGCCACCTCACTCCTACTACAAACCATACTCCCTCTCTCATCCTTGGTGATTGATATGGCTCTCAACCCTCACAAAACCCAGTCAAAGCTCAAACATTCCTCCTGTTTTGCTAAAACAATGACGGCACACAATTCAGCACACCCCCAACTATTATGTCACTGCCCCACCTTTATTATTCACCCCAATGAAGCCAAACGGTTCACAACCAATGCATATTAGGTAAGTAAGAGAATGACAGACAGCGGGTGTAGGAGGGAGATGGGACAAATGGGGAGGTATTGAGCTGGTAGGGGTGAGATGAGCTGTTGCACAGCAGTTCACTTGCATATTGCACAGTTGGTAAGCAACTTGAGCAGGCTACAAGCCTCAGCACAGAGGGTTCCCCACTGAGAGGTGGTGCTGGACCTGTCACGTGAGTTAAGCGCCAAGTGTATCCATAAAAATAAAAAATAAAAATAAATAAAGGGTAACAAGAAAAATAGGGCCAAAAAAGAGACCATACCTAAAAAATCATGTGCATGTCTGACTCTCTCCATTAATCGTAGGAACAAAAAGTAGAAGGGGCAGATAGAACAACCACCAAACAAACAAAACATAAGTCTCAAAGGCGCGTGCCAGTCAGCCTATCAAGATCCTAGTGAGAGTCAAATGGCTGTATCAGAACATAAGGTGTGTGTCTTGTGTGGGAACTTGGAGCTGTTAAAGAGTTCAATTTCTAAGAAAACAACTCCACATTATCAAAACAAGTATACAACAAACAGAGAGACGATCAAGTTTAACACAAGTGTTCATGTATTATATATAGATACGAATGCATTTGTTTGCAAAAGGTTATTACATCAACAACATAAAGGCAAATACTACTAGCTGACAGCACCAATTACGCCATTCATCTTCAGTAAGCAACACCTTAACCCTGCCTTACGCTTCATGTACTTGTAATCCATAACAATATAATATGCCACACCTGAACCCCAAAAAAAAGCAAAAGAGCATGTGGTCAGTTACCAATCTAGAAAGGTTTTTAAGCTTGAAAGCCAAAAGATCTCTCAAAATAAAATGCAAATTTTACAATTACAATTACCGAGTGTTCAATATATAAATTAAAACAAATTTACGGCATAATAAGCCTTTAAAGCAGAGTGTAAAACCTGCTTTGTTTGTCATCCTTAACATTAAGGTCTCAAGATCCCTCACCATGCAAATTTTGCAATTACAATTACCAGTGTTAATATATAAACTAAAACAAATTTACGGCATAATAAGCCTTTAAAGCATAGTGTAAAACCTGCTTTGTTTGTCAACCTTAACATTAAGGTCTCAAGTTCCCTCACCATCTTCCCAACCACCCACAGGCTATGTTACAAGTACACGGGTGCGGGTATCAGGTGTAGGTGCGTATTTAGGAGTCAGACACTTCAAAATAAAAAATTGAGGAGACGTGGATATGGATCCAAATTGGATATAGATACGGAGATATGTTAAATAGTTATTTTTCAAATATATTTATTACATGAAGATGAGTTTAAAAAAAAGTTAGGAAATAATAGATCTATTAAAAAAGAAAAAAGAAATAACAAATAAAAATTATATTAGGCATAAAACAAATTATATTATAAACCCAAACCAAACCAAGCCTTGTCTTAAGCCCCATCAAATGAGATTGGCTATATGAATCTTTTTTCTCCATTCGACTCTATCCAAGACCATATCGTTAGTCAAATTAAGGAGATTCATATCTCTGTTTACTACACTAGTCGACGTCAATCTAAGCCTTCCCCTTCCCTTAACACTTCCATCTACCATCACTATATCGCATCTTTTCTCTACTACCTCTGTTGGTCTCCGTTGTATATGACCAAACAATCTCAATCTATTCTCTCTCAACTTATCTTTTATTGGTACTGCTCCTACCTATTCTCGAATATACTAATTCCACCTTAGCATCCTCATGTCCGCAATACTCATCTTATCTACATGTTGTTTCTTAGTTGCCAAACATTCCGTCCCATACAATATCGCTGATCTAATAACCGTTCTATAAAACTTTCCTTTTAGTCTAGTGGGTACTCGTTTATCGTATAGTATCCCAGATGCAATCCTTCACTTAAGCCTATCCGTCTTAATTCTATGAACCATATCTGCCTTTGATAAAATAAATAATTTTCTATTTTAGGCATAAAAATTATATTATTTATGACATATTATATATGATAAATTATATTAAAAAGAAGAGAGAGACAGGGGTGAAGTGGATCAATGAGAGAAGAAAACAAAGATAAGGGAGAGACGAAGTCGATTGAAACAGAGAGAAGAGAGAGAAGAAGACGATCGAGTGAGAAGAAGATTGAAGCCCTAATTACAAGATCGAAGCCTTAATCTCCATTTTCATAGCCCTAATCGTAGGTATATCATCTTTCTTATTACTTCCGTATGTCGTATCCATTTCTTCCATGCCGTATCCCGGCCGAATTCCATACCTGTACCCATGTTGTGTTGTGTCGTGTCGACACGGGTACTTCTCCAAAACGAAAGAGTTCATGTAACATAACCCCTGGGCACCACACAAGAAAATCACGACCAACTACACCAACTTGAATCAAACAATGGGTGATTATCTATGATGCACAGACACGACACGGACAAGTGGACACGCAAATTTTCAAAAAATCTGGGACATGGCACTCTAGGGACATACTCAGGCCAAGTTTGGCATGTCTTGAAAAAGACAAAAAGTCAAAAAGTCACTATCTTATTTAAGTCACATCATCTTATTTAAGTCACATCACTTCTCTTACACATCACTTCAAACCCAACCCAAATCCAACCCATATTTCATAAAAAGTCAAAAAGTGCACTTATTTAGATCATCCCAAACAACCCCTCAATATATATAATTTTATTTATTTATTATATGTAAAATTAAAAATATATATTATTTATTTATTTACTTTAACATCAAATTTCATTCACAAATAATTATTTTTTACAAATAAAAATAATTTATTTCAAATTAATCCAAAATATCCCAAAAAAAATATAAAAAAGAAAAACAAGGAAAAAAAAAAAAAAGAAACAAAGATAGAGATAAAAGGGTGTGACAGAAAGTCGGAGAACACACAAAGAAGATCAGTCGAGAGAGAGAGAATCAAACATAGAGAAAGCGAAAGAGAGTCGAACACACATAGCGAACGAGAGAGCGAGAGAGAGAGAGAAGAATCGACGAAAGAAGAAGAAAAGCGTAGAAGAAAAGAATGACGAAGAAAAATGAAGAAAAGAACATACCTCAGATCTAGGGCTTCAACAAGTACTTCTTCACCCTTTCTCTTTCTCTGTCTCTCTGTCTATGGGTTAGGGTTTCTCTCTTGGTCTCCAATGTGTCCATAACATGTCCAACAATGTCGCAAGTATGTCCGACTAGAGAAATTCAAAAAAAAAAGGAAGAAGGGGGACGGGGGAGGACACGCCATGTAGAGTGTCCGACACGTCAGATACCCATACGTTGCCTTCGGAGAGGTGTTCGTGCTTCTTAGGTGATTATAGTATACACAATCAGATAAATATATTGCTTCACAAAGCATAGAATTTAAACTAACAAATAGAAGTTGGCAAAGAGCAAAACAAGTCCATACAGTTCAAAACTTTTTCCCTCCCAAAAGATGCAACTTGTGGTTACTAAAGAATATAGTCAAAACAATTATATGGTTGATAAGCAAAATTACACTCTTTACGACTATGGGCACCCCCATAAACTAAGAAAAACACGGTTCCGCCTATATTACCCTGCCAATATATCCGAACAGTTGAATGTGTCACCTGAATTCCAATCTATCCATGCACTAGAAATAGTTAGGTACATCTATAATTATTATAATCATGTCGTTTTGAATGCATAGATGTTGCGTTCCACTCTAGAGTGAACTTGCACTTCACAAGAAGCATGATAAAACAATAATGCACATGTCATGGTTTAATAACCAAGTTTTGGTCTTATTCCTCTTGCAGTAAGGAAATGATTCATAGGTTGTATTAATGGCTACGTTACACGGACTCTTTATTTTCTGAGAGGTACCTGTGTTGACACAACACGGGTACGAGATACGACTAAATACAAATGGGTACGCTACTTTTCGTGGTTTGAATAAGAGGAGGGTCAGAGAGAGAGAGACGCACTAGGGGGAAAATCGCACAAGAATCGCGAATCTAATGAGATAGAAATGCGAACAATCCACGAACGAAGCTCGCTCTCTCTCTCTCTCTCTCTCTGAGTCTAATTCATTTATTATATAATATTTTATTTAGAAATAATGTATTTTAAACAATATCAATCCATTACTTTTATTGGTCTATGTGTTTTATAGATTTAATAATATCACTTCATTAATTTTTTGGTAGTTTAATGATAAAGGCTTATTATTTTTTAGTATCAATAAGAATAAATTAAAATGTTCTTACAATATTTAAATTTATTACTTCATTTTGTTTTTTATGTTTAGAATGAATTTTTATCTGCTATTCATTTTAAAAAATATATTTTTTATATCGTATTTAATTAATTAAATATTATATAAAAATTTAAAATTTAAAACTCAATTATAACATATATGTATATAAATGTGTGTCAATTAAAAACTTAAAATATATATATAGGTAAATTGAAAATATTTTGAATTTTTTTTACACATCTATGTTTAGTCATATCCACGTACCCGTGTCTAATTTTTGGATACTTTTTAGATGTACCAACGTACCCCTCATTTAGGAGTTTGTCGAGTTTGACCCCTAGATACAATCCCCATACCCGCACCCGACACTCATTCCCAAGTCCATGTAACCTAGATTGCTAGTCAAAATTTTCAAACCTCTTCCATGGTTTTTTTTTTTTTTAAAATAAAATCTAGATAAATACTCTAGTTTTGCATTAATGAGTCAAAGCACTCCCTACTATAATTAAGAAAGGTCTAGCGGCCTATAAATTTATGCAATCTTTCAATTCAATGAAGAGTTGAGTTTTAGAGAAATCTAACCTATTTTAGCCCCTTCCTTTCTACAAGCCTTAAATCCTTTCTTCTCCCTTTCAGAACCCTAACCTATAGAGGCTAGAAACGTCCCATAACTAAAACCCATCACAATCCACTTGCATATAGCTCTAGTCCAAGTTTCCTCAAGCTTTCATAGATCAAGTAATTTCAAGAATCAACACTACTACAAACCCAGACTTATAAACCCGGATTTACCCAGAAAAATTAATCAAATGGTTCAAGTTTATTTTGCTCATTGACCCCACATTTCATCAATTTAATCTCCACCACATAAACCCATTCGGGATAAATTATGGGTTGATAAGGGTGGGTTCATAGCATTTTTGCTCAAGAATAGCAAATTAACAAGAATTAACAAGAGAAGCAAAGATAGGAGAACCAACCCTTTTCCTTGTGTGGGAATTGTGTGTGTAGTCAAGCACACAATGGGACCCAGGGAGGGGATAGAGGAGGTGCTATCTTTCCTAGTTAAGCGCCAAATATTGCACGGTATGAGTTTTAACAAAAACAAAAGACAAGGCCTATCATGGAATTGGACTAATGCACAAATATTGGACCCAAAAACAGCTCCTCTACCGTTCCTAATTCTAAACAATAGATCTAGCCATCTGTACTGAGAGAGAGAGAGAGAGGAGTGCGAGGAATAAAATTTTGAAGGAAAAACTTATACTGAGGAATGCAAGGAATGGTCATAAAACTTGTAACAAGAAAGACGAACAAGGGATAATCTAAATGAAACAACCAAGGCATTGTCAAAAACACAGCAATTAAAAAATGTAAAAAGAAGTATAAAGAAGCATTTTGGTACACCAATGGACAAACAAGCACAATATGGATAAAAACTAGAGCATTTTGAAGATATAAAACAATCTTTAGAACTTTGAGATAGTACCAAGTAGAAGCTACCACATTAGAATATTAAATG